ATAACAGCGCAAAAATGGGAAAACTGAATTAAGCACGTGAAAGACAAAGTTGAAAAGAGAGTGTGGGAACTGGACAATATTTTAGAGGAACAAGTCGAGCCATTCATTATTGAGGTTGGTGCTTCAGGCAGTAGCGATGATGAAAGTTCATCAAGCTCATCTTTCCAATAAAAGATGTCGATATACGATTATTTTTAATTTAGGCTAATTTAAACGCCATTTTGAGATTATATTCGACTGTATTTCACCAAACATCAGGCGGCATCCGAAGCTGGAAATCGAAGCGAAAATTTTGAAACCCTTATGTATATTTACATCATTATATATTTCTTACCCCACGCCCACATGATCCTATATCCATCACCAATCGTATACACATCGAATTGTGCTAATTTACTACAAAGTTACGCTAAGCAGCATCTACTATCTAAAATATGTACTGCGTGACTCTTAATACGTCCCTGCCGAATGTTACAGCGTTCGATGATCACGTGGTCTTGTTTATGTCCGGTCTATCTCTTATCTGAATATACTGTAGATAGTTTCGCGTTGAGATGGTGCAGATAAACATCCGCACATTTGCAATCCAACAACAAACCGTAGAACAAAACTTGGAACTAAAAAGCTTATGGTCCACACATGTTTGGTGAATATCAATTAAATGTTTCCTTCAAGGATACTCAACCAAATTGGGTAACAATCTACAGAAGAACTAGAAAGACAATTGCTGTTTAATTTTAAATATGCGAATTCCTTTGACTCATTCTTGTAAATGTTATGCTCTTTGGGTTGTATTGAGATGTGCTCTCATTTTACACTATGCCCTGTTTTTCATACATGTTCTCTGAGGACTGATTTTGAAGTTTTTTCCTAAGTTCTATTAACCTCTGTTACCGAGACGGATAGTGTCTACATATTTGTATACACGAAACTTAATAAATCATATCTACAGAACATATAAAAAAAGTTTAGAAGTTAAAAGGTTAATTTTTTGGCACACCACTGACTTTTTCTAAACTTCTGTTGATCATGCGGTAGAAAAAATGCGCAAAATACTAATGTTGTATGTCTTAACCAGTCATTGGCACAATAACCTGAAATTCGACTTTGCTTATTACTATTGTTTAAAACACTGCTTACAGAACTTGACCCCACTTTTTGAGGACGAATGAGCTTTAGAATTTTCTCTTTTTTTATTTTCCACGCATCATTGAGGCATGTATTCTGATCGATCGAATTTTCTAATTCCTGACACGTCTTTTTCTGTGTCTTTTGATGTCTCCTCCAGGCATATTCAAGACGAAAACAACTGCGCGATTTTTGTGTATTGGAAGCGCGATTTTTGTGTATTGGAAGCACGACAAAATCGTGCTAGGTATCTTTATTTTTCAAAACACCCAAGAGGTTCAGGAATTCTATATGCAACTTTTCTTGATTAAAGGTCGCAATATCCCTATCTATCTGTGTTCAGCATTCTGAAAACGGTAGCCAATGTAGCGTTGAAAGAACATCTTGCACGGTAGAGGACAGGTGCGCTGGATCAATATTGATGCAGCCATGTTTGCGCGAGAGAAGGACACTGCCAGCACAGATGAAAAACGCTGGTACCTCGTTAAATGTACTTTGTTCTGGCTTCAGGGTTAACGGGGCAAATATTTGTGTTCCGTGAGTCGATGTTTGATTACTATTTTCTCGTTATGCTTAAGTATTCATGATGCTATATCCTATATCTGACGTTCGTATTACTTGCTTAGAATGGTGGTTATAAATTAAGGCCCAGACGTCTCCAATATTATATGCGCCTTCAAAGAAAAGTATGACGATCATAATGTACCTTTCACTGATATTAATTATCTACAGATAGTGGATCAAAATTTGAAGAATTGTCGAAGGAGGCTCAATTCGCTAATTTCTAAGTTGAGCGCTGTATTAGCTGCACCGTACACAGCAACAGCATCAGATCAGTGGCGTAAAATGCGTTATTTTGATACCCGACTATAAGAAACATTTCAGTAATCGCAAATTAACCGAAGAGCTACAATAATATTAATAGCAAATTTTTACAATGACTTTGTACTTTTTCATTTCAGTCGTCAAGTTCACCTCGCCGAGTAGCAGTACCTGTCTTGGTGAAGGACGGCAAACCGTGTTCGACGGGCGGTAATGGAGGCGGCGGGGGCGGTGCTGGAGGCGGGTCATCGACCGCCGCCCATCAATCTGGAGACTCGCAACGGGGCGCACAACAGTCGCCCGCTTGCCAATCGAGTGCAGGGCAGCAGACTGCTGCCCAACAGGCAGCGCAACAGGTATGAATCTTTCTGTACCTTAAAGGCAAAGCCTGAAAAAATATCTGAGTATACCGCGTCCACGATAAAGAAGTTCGTTGATACGAGTTTTATGGTGGTCAAGATCGGCCATCGAGATATTACCTAAAATCTGGAGCCACGCCACTGCTAACGCGATGCCGATACAAAGGCACGCCGTGCCAGCAGTAGTGTACAATGTGTTATCCTCTCTTTCGTTTTGGTACCCGAGTATAGAAAGGTTTTGTTAGAATGTTCTCTTTAGCTATAAAAACGGCATCAGGTGTTGGAGCCAAAGGTGACACATTTGTATCAGGCTTAAACGTCGCAGCCGCATCAGTAAAAATTTAGTAATTATGAATGCCTTATTTCGGTCCTGCATTTTTACTATATATTAATCTGTGAAATGTTATGCCTGTCGATTTCTTGGCATCCACAGTGGATCACCTACAGCGCATCGTATTTATTTACAATAGCTCACACAAGACAAAAGGCCCAAATTGCCAATGAGAAGGCGCCTCTGAAGTAATAGATTAGATCTAACTGGATCTCTTGTGAAATGTCTCTCAACTAGACCGACAGTTTGTGTAAGATGAGTTCCTGATTCTCATGTTATATCAAGAAATATTTCATATGGCGCCCCGACACAAAAGTTGACGCAAATTCAACCATTCAAAAAGAATGATTTGTGCCCTACTCGAAACATAGATCAAACCCGATACTATATACTGACATGACGCAATTACTCAGGATTTTATAGAAAATAACAGTATCTAACTGTACAAAAGTCTGCTTAATTAGCTATTTGAGGAAATAAATAAAATAACAGAATGCTTATTCTTCAACAAAAATCGAGTGAATACCCAAATTCCTTGACTACCGAGCGAAAAACCCTGGCCCCTAAGCCTGTTACTGTCAACGTGGAGATGTCGCGCACTCTATTAACGGTAGGACAACTACGCCGCGGTGACGGTGGCAGGGCTAGAGGTAGTCGTTCCTCTGTCCAGTAGAGGGCGCGAGAGCTCCCTGTTTGCAGGTGTCTGGCTTTAGGACAGTGTTGCCACTTGTAACATAATTATCAAATTGTACCATATTTTCTACTGAAATATACAGTAAATAAAAAGATGTAACATAATCGATAATTGTAACATATTATTTTTCCATCTCCCAGCCTATAACTATGTTTTCAAAATTATTGGTTCTAATTGTATGCAACCAAAGCAACGTAACAAAAAGGATAATAATTATTAGTGCTGACCTCTTTCAGTTAATAGCATGGTTATTATGGAATTAGAATACAAATCAAGCCTACCGCCATCTATGTAAATATTACGGAACTCTAGTCTCGGTGAATTTGAGCCTACGCAGGGGAATACCCTAATCCTCATTGTTTCTTTTTCAATACGAGCAAGAGTAGTTGATCGAATGAGTCCTTATTAATGTGTGTTGATGTGATCAAATAGTGAAATAATGAAATAAAAGAGGATCATCATGATTACTCCGATTCTTCGGATTCAGAAAGGGAGGCAAAAAGACTAATGTTTAAAAACGTAAACAGACGAGAAAATAGGCCACAAAAATATAGATGTGAATGGGAAAGCAATCCTCATTTCAAAGGATGGTTGAAAGCTGTTAAAGGTAGAAAAAATAACATAAAACCATTATATACTTTTAATGATATACATTTTTGTTTTTACAAAAACCCACTCGAGCAAAATGTATTGCATGTGATAGTGAAATTCAAGCAGATTTAACTGTATTGAAAAATCACAGTAAGGTAGCTAAACATTTAAAAAATGTAAAGGTGATTGTGAAAAATCAACCAAAAATTTCTACTATGTTTTCTAATAAAAACGAAGCTAGTGGTCAAGTGAGTAGGACAGAAATAAAAATTGCTGCATTAATATCAGAGCATGATCTAGGTACCCATCAAGCTGTGTGATCATCTGATTCCTTTATTAAAAGACATATTTCCTGACTCGAAAATTGCCCAAGGAATGCAGATGGGAAGAACCAAAGCAACAGGTGTTATAAAACATGTTTTAGCCAAATCTCATTTTGAAGAACTAATCGATGAACTAAAAGCAAAAAAGTTTAGCATTTTAGTAGATGAATCTACAGACAGAGGTGTAGTAAAAAATATATGTGTATGTGTTAGGTACTTTAGTGAGAAAACAAATGAGGTAACTACAAAATTTTTAAATTTGGTTCAATGTTTTTCAAATCAAAATCCAGATGAAGCAAATACAAGGGCGACTGCAGAAGTTCTTTATAAAAAAATTATGGATTTATTTGAGTCTAACAATATACCTTTCCAAAATATTATAGGATTTGGTTCTGATGGTTGTAACACTATGTTTGGTGCCAATAACTCAGTAGTAAGTAAGTTAAAACTAAATCTTCCTGGCATTATAGTTCAAAAATGCATCTGCCACTCTTTACATCTTTGTGCCAGTGAGGCTTGTAAAGTTTTGCCCCGTCATTGTGAAGATTTAGCCAGGAATATTTTTGGTTACTTTAAAAATAGCTCCAAACGGCAAGCACAATTTACAGAATTTCAAACATTTTGTAATGTTCTGCAAATGAAATGAAAAAACGGTTTGATTTTAATGAAAATATTTTGTCAAAAATATCAGTATTTGAAAAAGGGTATTCTAAACCAAAACCAGCATCGCTTTTTCCATTAATTAAGTTACTACCCAGAATTGTAGATCCTCAAGATATTGAACAAATACAAAAAATTGATGATCAATGGCGGATGTATTGCCAGTCAGAACCAAATTTCAGTGATGAAATAAAGGATGAAACATCAATCGATAAATACTGGTACAAAATCTCCCAAATTCACGACATGTCTGATGTTTACGTATTTAAAGAATTGGGAAATTTTGTATTAGATTTATTAGTAATTCCTCATTCAAATGCCGCATGCGAAAGAATGTTTTCAAAAGTAAATTTAATCAAAACAGATGTCCGAAATCGCTTGTACAGTGATACAGTAAATTCACTTTTATTGGCATCTCAAAGTGTAAATCGTGAATGTTATAAGTTTAATGTTACTCAAAATATGATTAATAGAATAACGTCCTATAAACATGTCGCTCAAGATGAAAATGAAACTGTTGATATTCATTTTGAACCGGAATAATGTTTTTTATGTTTTCTAGTTAGATATATCTTGTAGTATTTTTCGAGAGTTTGTTTGATTTCCCAAATGTTCCTTTTTTTTATGAGATTTTTACATTAAAGAACCTATATTAATTATGTGTATTTTTTGTCTTAAAGGAACACTATTTGTAACATAATTTTGAAGAAAAATTGATAATTCTGGCAACATCGTACCATAATTCCTTTACTGATCTCTGTTTACTGGCCGGTGGCATCACTGCTTTAGGAACAGCGTTTTTTGCGCAGTAGTCAAGTATATTGAATATGTACTGGATGATTTTAAAGAATATAAGCATTCTGTCTTCAAAGAATTTATTAAGAAGAATTTTGTACAGCACCAGTGAGACGCTGTTACTTTGCACATTTAATTGTTGTCATATCTGTCTATATATTGTACCTGAATTGTGTCCATGTCTCAAGCTGGGCGCAAATGTTTTTTTTTTATTGATGCAAATGAAGAAATAGGTTTTTGTAGCTAAACCAAGTGGCTCATGGTCTATTTCTTCATTTAATATAGGATTAAAGCCGGAATTATTATTAATTAGGGGCCCGTCTTATACAGACATTTTACAAGAAGTCGACTACATTCTTTAGATCCATTACTTCAACGATGCCTTCTCATTGGTTGAACTTGTAACCCACGGGCTTTCTTGCTTAGTAAAATCGGACCTAAATTGTGCAAAACAAACCTGGCCTCGAGACCAAATACGTTATTCCTTATCAATAAGATCAGCACTGGTTGATTATTCAACATCCTCGCTACACTAGAAACAAATTTGCAGTCGTTCGGTGAGCTTTCAGATTCTCGCACGCTGGATCGAACGCGTACGCTGAGTTTTGATACTTCCAGTTTAAAACTTGATCTTAGACTGTGACGTTACCCCTCAAGATTCGTTTTTTTTTTGTTCCAGGCAGTGGCTCAAGGCCAACAATGCATGTCAAACAGCGCGGGTGGTGCAGGCCTAGCGATGGCCTACAGGCACCACCATCAACAAGCGGCAGCAGCCAATGCTTACCAACAGCAATGCGCCTCCTACTTGCCCTTGCAGACGAGGGCTTGGTAGGATTGCCCTACGCTGCACGAGCAGCATACCGCCCTCGAACAGTACGGACTCATGTACTGCGGTGATATATAAGAGGACCGAAAAGGTGAGTTCATAGTGAGGTGGTGAGCATAAGAAAGTCCTGTTGACTAGGTAGCAGAGCTGTAAGCAGGCATATGAAAATGAGAATAGTTAAAAAAATGTGAGCAGTTCAGATTTATGTAACGGACAAAGAAATGTGATTAAAAAGTAAATTCTGCTGTACAAGATTTACAATAGAAGGCGTAACGCTGGCATTTAAAACATTATCAGGTTAGCCAATCAATGTCAATGATGCTTTTGTGAACGCGGACCAGTTAACTAAAACCTAACATGAATATGAAACTACAGGGGAGTACCCAACACAAAACGGAAGGGGGGCCATTCAAAAAATGTTTTGGTGGAAGTTCCACAAATCATATTTACATAACTGTGCTTGACTTTCTAGTTGCATTCATTTCATTTATATAGTCTTCCACGACGATTTGACAATTCATATGGATATGGAAAACTGGGATTCCTTTTTTGATACATTCAATCAAGCCATATGTGAACCCTGTTGTAAAAGAAATTGTACAGAAGGATGTATATATTCTTTAGAGTGAATCGAATGCATGCATCTCGAAATAAAAAACTCTGGGTTACTTTTTTATAAAACTTCAAAGCTATAAGTCTATAGAAGAATTGGGAAAGGGATGAAAACACCTTCAAAATGGGCGGGTCAAGTTCGTTGCAACAGTTAATTGGTTATTGCAAAAGTGCATATGAAATAGTAGGCAAAAATCTTCAAAGATGCTGAAGCTGTCCACCGACGTAACTGCTGCAACAAATTAGACATATAGGTTGAGTTTTTAGTATCTAATTGGACAATATCTCTATTACTATAAAACATAATCAAAAATGTTATTTACAAAAATTGTGGACGCTTCCTACTTGGAATATACCGATCCCTACAATTTTGCCCAAAATCGTTTTTATTTTTTGCTGAATTTATTTGACATAGGATTTCAAAATACATTGTACATTGACATTTCCACTTTTTGATATCTGTAAGGTGGCATGCAGAGAAGATTAATATGATTTTTTGTCTTTTATCCCCCGTCTCAACTTTGAGTTTTCTTATGTATGCCATTTTTTCATAGGCGTTTAATTCTGATTTCAAATATTATAGCATTTTATACATTATTATAACAAAAATTTCTTAAATAAGCCTTAAAATTATATAGTCATTTATTTCATAGCATATCAAAGATGATAACATGTTACGTAATGGCATAAAACTTCAAGTACCTAACTTCATATAGTAGGTTTAAAATTATCGAATGAGGAACAACATAACGTAACAATTCATTCCATCTTTCAACACAGACATTGACAACCTTCGGCCTTCTGTCAAAGGTTCACCTCACTCATTATTCCATGACCACCATTTTGTGCAATCATCAAGTGGCTTCACGACGTAATGCTCTAATGTTTTCTAAATAATTTTTAATCTGTCTTTAACTTGTCTTGTCATATTTTATATAATTTTAACCATTGTACCATGTATCCAGCTCTCTCCATGTTACTGGACGGTTCCCTCATCCTATACTAAAACAACAATTAGCAACATCCTCACATACTACTGTAAGTTGATTCAATTTAAATTCATTTTACACTTTTGTTGCTACTGTTATCATTATAATTGCAGCTCCTGATGATGATGGCAAAGTCCATTGAAAGCTAGAGAGAATTAAAAAAAGTATAAAGAGTCCTCTTTGCTTAAATTTTGTCGAAGTACCCAACAAAAGGCGGAAGCTTTAATTTTTCACCTATATATATATTAAGACATCAATTTAAAAACTGGGAGCTAAAACGCCAGATCGAAATTATGGTTATGCCTCCATACAGATGAGAAAGTGATTAATGTTATCGTGTAATTTGTTTGGACTTTGTAGACAATGTGGATGTTTGAAAAGTTTTGTTTCAGACTAAAGCCTGGAAAAAATAAAAACGACTTGGAGTAAATTCGGAAATACTTGAATTTCCAAACTGACCGTGTAGCTTGGACGACAGTAATTATTGATGCATAATGTTACGCATAGTTCAGTAAGTACGTGTGACATTCGCGCAAAGAAAAATAATGGAGAAAGAAATGAAGAATTCGAAGCATTCGAAAAAATAGCTAGATAGAGTAAATTTGGGTTCAAGGAATTTGTATTCATGCTAGGAGTTAGGTTAGTTTGCATATATAACCTGACGTTGCTTTTCAAATAAAGACAATAGCCGGTACGAACTGTTTTACTATGAAACTCTTAGCAAAGTAAATATACTATTCAATTCCATGCTGGAAAGCTTCAACCAAGTAAGATCACCTAAAATTTAAAAGGCAACAAAAAAGTTCGTATAAAAGTATCTGGCAAACCTATCCGAAGTTAGAGGTATTAAGGAAAAGAGTTTTTGTTTAATTTGTCGTTCAAAACTTTTGGGTAGAACTATATATTTTGACCGGTTTTGCGTGGTGGTGGCTACGGAAAACATTTAGCAGATGTAGGAATATCTCTTCTGAAAAAAATCATCTATGTAGCTCTTGCCACCGCCTCACTATGAACAAGCCTCAATGCGTGAGTTTTGTAATGTGAAGTAGGAAGGCAGGAGTGTCTTGCATGAAAGATATAGTGAACTGCATTTTACAAAAAAATGTTCATAAATAGAGACAACAATAGGGACAACAGTTTGTCTTTTACTTGTTGCTACTTGTAAAATGATCTGCATATTCAAGCATATCAAAGTGATGTACATGTGACCAGGTGGGTCATTGATAAAAGACATCGGTTGCATTTTGGAAATACTGTTGGACACTATTTTCAAGTTCCTAAGATGTTTAATATTACTTACTGCTCAACATAAAAATGTATTAGTAGATTCAGCATATATCTGCCGTGATACCAACACCCTCCTTGACTTGTAAAACAAAAAAATGTTTTGCTCATATGTTTGTAACGAATAAAGCAACGACGCGAGTTGACATCAAAGTAGAAAACAGAAAAATGGAGATAATTTCATAAGACGACACCTGAAAGATATTCATTTGATAAGCCTTCGCTGTAAGCCTTTCATATACAACCAAATTTATGAGAAACAATCAAAATATAAAAAAATACTCGTCACTTTTATTGATTCTTATGAAAAACGCAATCAACTTAAAAATAATTTCCAACAATTTAAAATGGTCGCTTATGTTGTGAACTGTTTTATCCGATGATTCTAACTGGGTACCCTAAATACAGCCCGAAAACGTTGTTCCTGGCCACCTGATAAAACTGGTATATCTATCTCTCACAGTCTCAATTGTGTTGTGTAGATATTAAAAAATATTTACATTATCTTTTGCCTTCCTACTACCACATATTTGTTGCAATTAAATCAACATTCTAGTTTTTTGTGAATTTTGAAACTAGGAATTGTTAGAATGCCGAGCAAGCTTTTACATAGTAGAAGGTATTTTTGTACTACAACTTAAGTTTTTAATCATCCATAGATGGCAATAGCTGTGTTCTTGATTTTTTATGAGCAAATATTACCTTGACCAAATTGACTAGCTTCCTCTGTCTATAGCGAAATTATCCCTTCCATCTAATTACAAACAAGTATTTTCTCATGCACTACTTACAAGAGTATATTTTAGACTAAGAAATTTAGCTTAAAAATCGTCGTTCAGACCAAATAATTCTTGTTGTTCTGAAAATTGGTAGCACTATTTCTTGAAGTATCCAGCTGACTGTGGGAGTTGGGAAAGGTTGGAAATGTCCCTTTTTTCGCATTTTTGCATACATCTGGTAAACTGTTAACGATCTCTTTATAATTCCTTCTGCATAAAAAATCTACACTAAATTTACAGCAAAATATGCAATATACATTTTTACTGCAGGATCATTACTTTAGAAAAACTTATTAGTTACATTGTATTTTAGTTGCAAAAAATAAAGCAAGTATATTTTTAAAGAATACAAAAAGCCCGATTGCAGCAACTGAAAAGAATCAATATTTAATTGTGCTGACAGGACGAATGTAAGAACACATCAAATGCCAAAACATATCAAGCCGTTGGACTTGTACCGCATAGAAAAGACATTTCCGTTTCAAGCGCAATAGCTTAAACGGCTTCGTGGATTTTGCTATACGAGGTGAATCAAGATTTGTTCTAATAGTGCGAGTG